GCAAGGTATAGCCCTAGGTCAGTCCTTACTAAACCAGCAGATTTCCAAAGGGAATGAAAGAATTGCATCCCACAGCCGTTAGCTATCTAAACATATTTGGGTATTGATAGATGTTCATTTATCAATATTGGCCTATCTAGCCATGGTGATTGCAGAAGTTCCTATAAATAGATGTCACATGGGCAGTATCTCATCTAAGCCAGAGGACTGATTTCTGTGCATTAGAAAGTGGAATGACTTCTAGGCTTCAAAAAGTAGATACTTAGAGAAGAAAAGGCCCAGGAGAAGTTTCCATTATCTCTTACTTGCATTGTTGCTTCCTAAGTGAACTACACATACTGGAGCCGTAGCCCCTGGACCAAGGCTAAGTAAAAATACAGCCAGCTGCAGTCATCTCCAAGGCACTTTGCAGATCATTATTTTACACTTTGCAGATCACTATTTTATATGCAGGAACAATTTTCTTTAGCTCAAATCTTTAGATATGCCTCAGGCAGCTTGGTCTTTTCAGCTTGCAGAAATAGTTCTGCCTGCCACCAGCCCTTTCCTTCCACACAAAGAAAACAGAGTCAATGAAAATCAAGTTCTAGCCAGGCTGCCCAGCACTACCTGTTTCTCCAGAACTCCAGTTCCACCTTTGGGTTAGGGTTGCTGCCTTTCAGGAGAGGCTCCGAGGACTCTCTTCTCAGCACTTCTTGGACCTGGTTGCTCCAGTCAATAATAGCTGACTCAGCAGCATAAACGATAGAATTATCTATCAGCTCCAGACTGGAGAAAAAAACAATAGACATTTAATTTTGTTTTCCACTTGTCGATGTTTATTACTCAAGCTGTATCCTCTCCAAATGACCAAATAGGTAGCCAGTTTTTATAGATCACGGTCTAGCTTTACATTTCAAAATTAGAAAGTCATTTAGGGGAAAAAAAACCCACATAATTTTGCTGCTGTTTTAATACAGGAATGACATCCAGTTAATACTGTTGTACAATCCCCAAAGACAGAATCTATGAAGTAGATAACAGGTAGAGCAAAGCACACCAGTTGGAGCGAGAAACAGATGACAGTGAGCAAGAAAAGTCGGCATGATTTGTGTAAAGTTCTCCCAAAGATATTCTCACATAATTAGGAGATAACCCAAATAAAATCAAAGGATGCTACTCACGATTTCTCGTTTTCCAGCTCAACATACTCAAATCTTTCTGAGCCAGCTGGAAGGGGCAGCAAGGTTTTGCCCTTTACTTGTCCAGCAATCACAATAACAGCACTTTTCAGGTTGTGGACATGGCGCAAAATGTCCTGTGACACCACCTGTGGCCAGCCCTGATGGTTCTTCTGGTTTGTGAGAATGGGCACAATCACCTATAAGGAGTCACGAAAGAGGAATGAAGAAAAAAATTCCCGTATGAGACTGGTAGTTCACCAGACTCCAAGGGCTTTGCATGGCCAAGCCTGGAAACTCAAACTCATCGCTGATCCAAACAGCAACCTACCTATGTGAAACAAGAGCAGATATTGGTGAATGGAAATCTGCACAGGTCTACTTTGCTGGTGATTGAGTCTATTGCCAGAGTTAAAACTTGCCTATAAAACTTAYTGACCACAAATGAGATTAGGGCTGTGGTGGGATCTTCCAGCTTCATCCACATGACACATCGTCTGGGCATCTTTAGAAGACGCAAGAGGTTCAGCACTCTCACAGTCCAAAACTAACTACGCAAAGCTAGATTCCAAAAGTCTTTGCTTCCCCTTACCACGGACATTCACTATTTGTTGTCCAGGAGGCTCTTCTCTCAGTCAGACACCACCTGTAACACTGCTGGCAAACACATTTAGGTGCATCTGCCTGGTTGTTTTGTTGTGACGGGAAGAAAAAATACCAGAAATATCTATGATATTCCCAAGTGAGGAGAACTATGGCATGTGATGACTGGGTGTATCTGCCTGGTACTATTCCTAAACCCATCATGTGAACAGAATCTTCCTGTAGGTGATAGYTGCTAAAGTCTCCATCCAATCTGAACTGCACATCTTGAGAACAGGCAATTTAAGGTTATTTTTCAAAAGATGTAGCCCACTCAGTATTATTTTGCTATATCTACCAGTGACAGGCTTTGTACTCAGTTGGTAGCATGAGGTTGCAGGGCTGAGCTGCTTTTGGGTAGTTTTGACAGTAATAGGCATGCAGTGGCTATCACCCCTGGGTTAGCTCAGCTCCATCGTCCAGTCATGAGTGACTGACTTATTAACAAGATATTTCTCTATTACTAAGATTATTTATACTATGAACACTAGCAAAAGTGTTTTTGTGATATTGTTAAAACATGAATAGGACTGACAACAAACTCCCAGCTCCACAAGGAAGTTGCGTTGTTCCCCTTGGCCATAACAACATGATTTTGAGAGAGACAGCTAGCAAGGGTCACCTCACATCCAACACAGCCGATACAGCTCAGCTGCACTTTCAGACTAAATCAAGACACATTTTCTGTGCACCTACTCCTAATCTTCTATATGGTTCAAGATAACTTTGTTCCAAACTTTTTCCCTGAATAAAGTCTTCTAAGGCTGCCCTAAAAGTCTTGAGTTTTCTAATAAAGATGTTTTGTAAGAAAACAGTCCAGGTACAAGGCAGAGCAACGCAAGTTGTAGCCCCCAAAACATCAGGAAATTGAGGACACCTTGCAGCAATACGCTGTCATTGAAGTCTGCATCCAAGCTGCTGAGCACAGCCAGCGAGATTCAAAAGCAAATAAGATYCTCTAAAATATTCCTACCCCCAAATCTCTCTGTAACAGATGGTGTTTACAGGGAACATCATATGCTACCTGCCACCATCTACAAACAAAATCAYAACGCAGAAGCCACTGTATGCGACTTATCGGGTTCATGGTGCTCATCAAATGTCCCTAAATGTAAAAACTCTCCATGTAAATAATATGTTATTCCAAAAGATCGGGAGAGCTGGTTTGGACACCTCCCTGAGAAGCTGAACCTGGCGGGGTCAGCATTTTAGGACTACTAAGCATGACTTGAACTTCCCAGCATGAGCAATTCCTCTGCTTTCCCACTACAGCTTTACTGCAGAGAGGCGGCCACCACGAAAAAATGCAGATGGTGCCGTCATGGTAACACAGGCAGCAGAGATCCCTACAGCTCTTGAAGGGGCCGTGGGGAACAAATCATCCCACTAGCTCTAACAGAGCGGGCAGAAACTCATGTCAAGAAGGCTCTGAGTGAGCACAGGCCAAGGTTCAAGGGAGTTACATGAATTCCAAGCATGCTCTTTCCTTAGGACCTGCTGAGAAGGGCAGCGCCAGGCACCTGAGAGAACAGGGCCGAGATGGTGGTCTCACGGGCAATGTGTGGCTGCCGCCGGCCCCGCTCACACCCTCACCTGCTCCACGAGGGTGGCGAAGTGGGGCAGGACATCGGCGGGCAGGTCTCCGCAGAGCGGCTCGCCGCGGTCCCGCTGCACGAAGTAGAGCGCCCTGGTGCGGGCGGGCGGCGGCCCCAGCGCCACGT